CCACCCCCGTTAGTGTATATTTGCTTTTCCACAAAAGTAACAACATATGAAATGGATTTTTCTTCTGCTAACATTATTGGCTCCCAGTCCCCTGTCTTCTAGCTAACACAGCATCCTCCAGGCAGAAAAATCTAAATAAGAAGGCATGGTTTGGTTTTAGGCAGCTCCAAGTAGTAATCCTGGCTCATATTAATACTTTCCTCTAGCAACTTAGTTAGAGCTGAGGTTCTGCATCTTCAGAGAAAAATCTGCATGGTAGCTCTGCTATGAAAATTACACATGGGTACTTAGAACAGTTACTTGCACAGTAAAGAAATATAGTAAAATCACCTATTGGTCCTGTTTCTTAACTTCATAAACCTCTCAACACAGAGAAAATAGCAGCCAATATCTCTGAAAGATAAGGCACATAGATTTCATGCAGACAGGTAGAATAATCACATTGTTACCCTTAGTAAAAATTAAGTAAATTTTAAGTAAGATCTGTCGTGTAGTGCTTTTTGTTCTTAGTTTCATCGACTCCTGTAACTGCTCCACTTCACATCTGGATCTGTGAAATGAGAATGCGCTGTTTACATCAGTCTTTCCTGCAAATGTAATAGTACTACATGGTTCCATGTGTTTATAACATATAGCCCTGATGTCAACCCTGATTCTCTTCACTTCAAAGATAGTGCTGGGTGGATAGCATGCATTCTATGATCTGCTTGTGGGAAAGCAAATATGCCTTTTGTGTTTTGTTCTGAAATCTGTACATCACTTTCTTTTGTGCATGAAAGATCTTTCCCAATGAAACCCTTGGCTGGCTACTCAGATCTGCTATGTATTGAATCATTTATATAAATTCAAGTAGCAGGTAGAAGAGAATCTCTTTCCACCTCAACTTCCTCATAAATTAGCTTATTTTTTTTGAAAAGATGATGTCAAGACCAAGCCCTAGATGTATAACTCCTAATTCATTTTTTCATGATATGCATTAATTTCTGTTTGTAGCTACCTCAGGAATGAAGAAACCAGAGAAGCTAACATTCGGGCAAAGTACAAAGTCAACAAAATCAGTTGCAGATGCAGAAAGAAATCCGCTTTAGTCTGTGAATTGTTTCATGAACCAGTTTGGAACCTGTGGAAAAGTTAGGAAATTGCTGCTTGTAAATTGAGAGGCGATTTACCCAGCTCACCTGTCACCTGGTGGGCAAATTGCCAAAGGAAAAGAAAGAAGGAAGAGAAATTCCTTGGCGATTTCATACATGCAGTGTGTGCTGTGTTATTCGGTTCCTTTAGGAAGTTTTTGTGTTGTCTAAGATAGATCAAGACATGGATCGCGTCACACAAACATGAAGTATCACAGTCACTCCAACAAACCCTAGAAGTTCATAGATGTGCCACAGAGCACTTTCGCTAGTGCCGCTGGCAGATCCTGTGTGGAGCAGCAGTGGCTGTGACACACATGTCAGCACACATTGCCCGTAAACAAGGAAGGCCTGCCTCGGAGTGGGACTCAGGGAATTGCAGCCTCGCTTGAGTGCTTTGAGAGGCCAAGATCAAAAGCACTTTTAAGCATATCATATAATTATCATCATTAAGAAGCACGAGGCGAGGAGTCCTAAACTCCCAAATTTTCAAAGCAACAAAAGCAGCACAGCTTTAATGGGACTTTGAAGTCAGATAAATCTCCAGGTATTTTCATTATAGAAACTCACAACTAATTAAGGAAAACCCTATCTGGGCCAGTGCTTAATTATGTTTGCTTGTCTGCCTGTGTCATGTACTGTGTTCTGAAAGTAGAGGGGTGTCAATCGGATTGCACCAACAGAGCGTGGTGGGACCAGCCAACATCATTCATTTTTCACGAACCGTGGCATAGCAGGGTTTTGATTTTTTTCTGAATAAATAAGTTCTTAATAAGCATGGAAGATTTTCTTAATAGTTAACATAGTCCAAAGGTTAGCTAGAACTTTCTCCATAAATATTACAGCTGTTTTATATTACCAGGCAATGTACTAAACCATCTATAGAAAAATGCTGGATAAATTCTGTCTGGTAATTAAATACAGACACATAGCCTTGAATATATCATGGAGACAGGTTGCATATATAGAAGGCAAACTAGAACTCTGAGCTGCCCAATAATTAGATTTTGCCTAAAGACATTTGTCTTTTAACACACATAAGATGGTCCACATTGTTATTTTTTATTCGAAATCATGGACAGAAGTTAAAAATCAGATGATTCTTAGAATATTGAAAGGTCTGCTTGAAAACCCTCAGTCATTTTTGTCTAAGGAGAGATTCTGACCAGTTCCCCACAAACCTAACTGTGATGAGTGAATAAAAAAGTATGATACATTCATATAATTCAGTTTTATCCAGCCAGAAAATAATAAAGTACTGGTACGTGTTACAGCTTGAAAATATTTTGCTATGTGAAAGAGAACAGACACAAAAAGCCACATATTGTGTGATTCCATTTTATGAACTGTCCAGAAAAGGCAAATTGGTAGTGACAGAAAGCAGATTTGTGGTTGCTAAGGACTTCAAGAAAAGGGGAAATGGACAATGATTGCTTGAAACGTTTGGATTTCCAATACAGGTGACAAAACGTTCCAGAATGAGGTTCTGAGTTATGCAACTTCATGTTTGTACAAAATGCCACCAAACTGCACACCTTAAATTGGTACAATGATAAGCTTTCTGTTGTATTTATTTTATCACCATAGAAAGTAAATCATGAACTCCTTGTCCTTGTAACAGTAGGATGTTGAGAAGTGGTGGGTATTTGGTGAGGGCCACATGTCCTTCTTGGTAGCATGTCCCATTCCCTGGGAAGAGAATGGTACCTAATGGCCCCAAGACCGCTATCTGCCCTACTTATGGGGTGACAAAAATCTTCAGTGAACTGCATCCTTGTGCAGCTAGGTTCTAAGCCTGGTCTCCAGCAGCAGGCCCATCAGCACTTGCAGGCTGATGGCTTCTGTGTAAATGTCCATTTCATCACACCGGGATTCCCCGAGGCCCTCGTAGAACACAGCTCGTAGAAGATGCCTCAGCTCTGTCATTTCATCTGTGGCTGGAAAGCATCCCAAATTCTCTGTCTTGCCCTTTTGCTGATCCTCAGCTAAGTCAGGGCCCCATAACCTCTGCACAGGATCCCTTCGGTTACAACCATGTATGCCTCACCTTCCTCCAGAGGAGCCCCAGAAAGATGCAGTAGTGAGAATGTAACATTTACTGAGCATTTCCTGTATACCTGGCACTATTCTAGACACTTTACACTTTTTTTTTCATTTAATATTCAAATCGCTGCTGCCAGGTGATAAACAGGTGACTAAAATGGCCCAAACCTTCAGTAACTTGCCGCAGGGCCCTTCAACGACTCAGGACAGAAGCAGAGATGCTAACCAGAGAGCCAGCTTCTAGTATCAGTTCTTAAAACACTACATTTTTAAGGCTCCGTAAATATGAGGCTTTGGATACTATCACAGAAGAATCCTGAAAATCTCACCAGGTATCCTCTGAATGTCTCCCGGGGAGATACTCAAGAGTTGCACTGGGACCGCAGGTGGCTGGTAGCGAGTAGCACCAGGACACAGGAGGTGGGCAGCTGTGTCTTGCATGAGGGAGGTACCCGCTGCAGAGCAGTCATGCCTGTGGCAATGCCCACTGGTGAGAGATTAGCGAGGAACGATTGCAGACACTGGTGCTCTTCGGTGCTGTACCCCTAGGCCAAGAGGGCGCTGCCTGTCTTCCTTTCTAGTGTACCTTTGCTGTGTTAGATTCAGTCTCAGGCTCCATGTCTTCACAGGGCAATTTTTTAGGAACTTGCATTGTGGCCATCAGAACAAGGTTCTTAAGTAAAGATTGGGGATTCATTTCATTTTTGCTATATTACTCCCTTCTCTGGCCCATTCTCTGCAGTATTTACAACGTGAATTTTCAAAGTGGAAAAATTGTTATATCCTAACTACTCATAAGTTCTTTCACTGATTCCCTATTTCATGGAAACTCCCAGGCTAATCAGCGTTCAGGTTTGATTGATTGACCATCAAGTTCTCCGACCTATTTTTATTTTGTATTGCCTTCACACCTCGTGGATTCTGCTCCACTTCTCTAGTACCCCATTCACTGTATACTCGTCCATTCCACGCTGACATCTATACCAGGCACTGGGAAGCTTGTAGGACATGGCCCCCTCCTTGAAGGGCAATGGAGTCAGACCTAAAAGAAAGACTCAGAACAAAAATACAGCACAGAGGGGTCCTACAGAAAGACAAGGGGGATACCGTGTCCAGGAGAGTGTCTCCCATACCTGGAAACCAGGGAGAGCAGCCCAGAACAGGGGCTTGCTTGTTTGCTTGCTTGCTTTCTCCCTTCCTTCCTTCCTTCCTTCCTTCCTTCCTTCCTTCCTTTCTTCCTTCCTTCCTTCCTTCCAGTTATTCACCTTGTGAAAGTCACTGGAAAATTAGATCCTTCACATTTGCAAAAGTCCTCATGTCTTATGAAATGTCTTCAAATATTCAAAAACACAGGATTGAACCCCCACATTTTACTCTTTCTGAGACTATTTTAGCTTTATTTTTTTAACTTCCCTAAAAGATTCAGAATCATTAAAGCTTGAATCTGAATCTCTGTTCTTCCATTTACTTACTCTGTTGTCTGGGAACAAATGACCAAATCCCTCAGTGCCATCACCTATGGATCAGATGAGATGATGTCCAGCTTGCCCAGCTGTCTCTACTGAATACAACAATGCAAAGAATATGCTGAGCACAGGGCTGACCAAACACCAAGACTCCACAGGTAGCACCTGCAAATATTTGTACTATTATTACCTTGCAGAAAGAAAAGCTGCAATCCAAACCCTGTGCCTAACTACATCCTGATTGCCGTAAGATCTTATGAAAGTAAGTTACTCCATCCAAATGCTGGATACTTAGCAGCGAATATGCCCACCTTAATATATTCACTAGGTATTTTACATGATTTCAAAATCTGCCTTCCAGGAGCATGATTCCAAGGGCTGTGTCTAGTTGCGGCCAAGGGACTTCCTACTGTGTGTGAAAGCAACTTGGAGAGCTTCTGACAGCCTGGGTCAGCAGCATAAAATCTGCAGCTTAATGCACCTTTTTTAAAATAAAGTAAAAAAGCAAAACTTTTGCCTCTCCGGCCTACATAAAGTGTGTTCTGAATACGTGTCCCATTGTTCTTTTGTGTGTAGCCACATCAACCAACACAGCATAACACATTTAGATTAAACTATGATGCCACTAAACAATCATTCAGAGGCATATTCCATGACCAGAAACAGTTCTCAACTTAATGAGAGCAATGAGAAAAAAATAAAACCAATAATGAGCACATTTTAAAAAACCCCAAACATCTCTATACAATGGCATTGTAGGGCCAGCCTCAGCAAAATACTTAGTATGGATTTTAGTAAATAGAGTAAATAATGCAGAAAAAGTTTAAAGAGAGACAAAGAACATCATGTGCGGAAGGTTCCCAAAGACATTGGGCCTGCCTGTTTTTGTAAAGAACATCTGTCAGGGACTGTGATCACTAGAGGCTACCCTTGTTTCATGGCGGAAGGGGTTGCGGAGTCAAAGCCCCCAGGCTAATTAAGCTGGGCTGTATGCTCCTGGGAGAAGCAAGAATTTAGCTCAGTGCCTGATGCCATTTTGATGCCAACTAACAAACTTCTGAATACTAATGAGACCCTACCATTTCGGAGCAGCTACATTCATTGGATTTAATCAAAACATCTATCAGCATGCTCCTTGTTCTAGGGTAGCGCCAGAGACCACCGCACTGCGGAGCAGCTCTGCCTGGCAGCAGGCACACGGCCTCAGAGCTCTGAGTCCTTTCAGGGCTTGGTCATTCCTACGAACCTATGGTGGCTCTCGGCTACCTGGCCAACCTGTCAGTGGTGCACAAGACATCTTGTGTTTCTATTTTCTGTGTCTGCATCAGAAGCAGGGAAACTGTTGCTTGGATTTGGGTCAGAAAGTAATCAATGCTGCAGTTGCCTTGAACATTTTCATGGTAGAAATATGACAGCTCTTCCAACCTTCACAATCAAGCTACCTGATCAGCTCCAGCCAAAGATACAGTCTGGGACCCCACACTGAGCTAGCGGCTCACTGTGGGCTGCCCCACCAGTCTCCACCTGCTTCCCATAGTTACTAGGGAAAAAAAATGACACAGTGGCCAACTTGCATCCTTCATTACCTAATGAAGTGGCAGTCCTCAAGAATTTAGTTGGAGACAAGAATCCCAGCCTTGTATATGTACCTCAGTTTGACAGGCATTTTTTCCCCTTTTTTATGTATTTGGGACGGGCTCTCACTATGAAGCTCAGACTCGTAGTGATCCTCTTGTTTTCAGCCTCTCCAGTGCTGGGATTACACGTGTGCACCACCACATCTGGTCTCTGTGGCCGGCTCAGTGTGTCTCAGGGTGAAGCCAGCATGACATGTGGTGCTGGGGATTGACCCCAGTCCCTGTGCTTGTCTAAGAAGGAGCTTAGTCTGCTGAGCTATCTCTCCGGCCCAGTTTGACAGTTACTGACATCAAGAGTCATTGAGTTTTGATCAGAATTGCCTGAAAGGAAATACAAGAGCTGGCCTGTAATATATAATATTTCTTGTGGTAGAAATTAGCATAGATTTACTGTTGCTTAGAGGGTTTTTTGATGCCTGTTTGAAGGAAGGAGCATGATTTTTCAGGGTTCCTGCCAACTATGATTTTAAATATCTACAGTCATGTAGAATAACATATCTAACTGGTACCCCTAGAAGATGGCTGACCATTCCAACTTGGCTAGAACAATGTAAAGAGCTCCTTTTCCTGTTTGTGTTCTGAATGAAAACTAGCACAGGCTGTGGCAGCCACACAAATGAAGACTACCCTGAGGAGTCATGTGGCTCTAGCTGGACCTCCAAGGAAGTTCTATTCACTTCGGATTTTGAAAGGTGTGAGGGCTCCTGTTTCACTGCAGCTGGTGTGCTGGATCCAGGCGGCCAGGATCAGGAAAGCGAGAGCCTCCAGCCAAGCCTGAAACCCACTCAGGCCCTGTGGGATTTGAGTTTAGCTCTTTTAAAACAACATTTTGATGAGTTGTGTGTAAATGAATCAGAAACATATGGATTTAATTTCCCTAGAAGTGTACATGGGTTTAAAAATTAAGGGGAAAAAATGTGTAGAGTTTGGGTATGTATCAAAGGAGAAATGTTTTAAAAAAAATAATGCAAGACACTTTGTAGAAAAAACAGCAGGCCTTCCTTCTTGAAGTACAGTGACTGCGGCAGGCTGTGGGACGAGTCTTGCAACTCCGGAGTTAGCACATGTACGCCGGGCTCGGTCTTCCTGCAATGTCCTAGGATCCCGTGAGCACCGCCCAACAAATGAAAAGCAGACACCAGCCACCAGGGAGGCCACATCATATCTGGGATGAAAATTAAATTGCCCACAAACGGAAGAGATTTTTGAACAAGGTACTTGCACTCTCTTTTTAAGTTAATTTAATTCTAAATGGAGGACAGTCTGCAAACAGAGATAGAAACTGAAGCGAAGAAATATAAACCGTGAATTGTCTTTTCTGAACCCAGGAGGTTGTCAGGGCCAGAAGCCATGAACATGGATGGAAGGGCTGGTTTTGAACTGAAACTTAGCCAAGGGAAAGCCCTGGTAACTAAATTCATCCATTCATAGAACATTTACTGAGTACCTGCTGTGTCACCCATACTGTTCTCAGAACCAGATGTAAGAAAACAGAAATACAAAACAAGTTTTTGGGACCTTCAAGGGGCCTTTAGCTTTTAACAGAGCAACGATGTGTATGCAAACTGTTGCTCTAGGTTGATCTGGTTACTAAGACAGGATGTACAGGACATAGGGTGTGACACAGCAGGGACAGAGATGGTCAGCTTTGCCTTGGAAGATGGGGAATGGAGGGCTTATAAGAAAAGGTCGATGAGGGAGAGATTATGCCTTGAGTGTATGAAGGTAGTTGAACACACCACACCACAGCCTGACTACAAGGCCACATGGGGCTTGTACGCTGCAACAGAACACACAACCAGGAGCTATTGATAGAGGGAAGAAAAGGAGCTATTGATAGAGGGAAGAAAAACTGATCTCGGGTGGGTGACCTCCAAATGATACAGGGAACCTCCAAATGACGTAGTGAAAAATGATCTCCCGACCTGACCTGCACGAGTTCGTGCTCTCTAAAACCGAAGAATGAATTTTAGGAACAAATGAAGGTTATGAGCAGAATATATTTATTGAGAGAAAGAAAGCTCTTGTTCAGGACAGGGACAGGAGGGGGGCCCAAGCAGGTAGTTTCCCCAGGATGCTGACTCTTCCAGGGACTTTTATAGTGTAAAACCATGAGGGGCTAAAGTAGAGAAAGGGGGAACTCGCTTAGGTGGATGTGGGGTGGGACAAAACTATGGTCAACCAATGTGATTGCAAGCACCATTACTCAGGTAAAATTGATTAAATCCAGTATCAAATGGGAAAGCAAGTCACGTAGCAAGCGGGCATGAATACGGGACAGGGTCTCTCCCTGTTGGGGGTTGGGCTAGTGACTCACTTGGGCTCTTTCCAGGTGGTCAATACCTATTTAGAATATCAATCCCAGGTGCTAGTTTTTTAGCGTTTGTTTGGCCTTTAGGTCTTTTAGGTCTGGCCCAGGTGGGGGGGAGGAGCATCTGCCCCTCCCACAGTTGTAAGGCATCTCGTCTTTTGTGCTGTCTCCTTCGAGGGCCTGGCCCTGTCTGCCTGTAATGTTTCTATCTAACTCAGCTGCCTGCAATACTATGAAAGGTCCTGTAATACCCAAAGAATGGGAGGCCCCTACAGGAGGATGTGGTGGACTTACATTTGAATAGTTCTAAGGCTGGCAGAATACTGAATCTAGTCCTAGGGATAAGTAACAGGACTGTCATTGACTAGGGGACCTTATTCCTGGGGGAAAGGAGTTGGGGCCCTCCCAACCTCACCAGATGTCAAAGCAGCAATTCGTAATGCACCGTAAGGCAAGTAGTGAAAAATGAATGTGAATTCCCTGTACGGCTGGGTGAGCGTGCACTGGTGTTCCACGCGGAAGAGCAAGACAAAGGTCCAAAGGCAAAAAGCAGCCTGAAAAATTGGCCAAATATTTTGAAAAAAGAAAAGAGGATTTCTTCCCACAGATCTGTAGAAAAGAAACCACAATCTCCCCTTAAAACATTAAATTATTTAAGTATTAAAACTAATGAAAGACGTTAATTTAAAGCAGGCCGGTCCAATAGAAATACAATGTGAGCCAGAAATGTGAGCTGCTTATGTAATTTCAAACTTTCTAACAGCCACATAAAAAAGGAAAAGAAATAGTAAAAGTAATTTGAACGATATACATTATTTGACCCAACATATCAAACATCTTAACCATTTTAGCATGAAATAACAAAAAATTAGCATGGTATTTACATTCTTTGTTCCATAGTAAGTCTTTGAAATCCAATCTGTATTTTTTACAGTTAAAGCATACATCAATTTGGACTAGCCGCACATCTCAAATGCTCAATGCCCACAGTCAGCTGATGGCAAGCAGACTGGACGCATTTACTCTGGGTCCCTCAAGTTGGCTGAAATTTGGGGGAAAAATGCTATCTTATTTTTTCATCTGTTTGATTTTGACAGTCTATCTTTACCTATTCTTACAGGCTCCCCTCCTCTCAGTACAAGCATTTTCTTTTCTGCCTAAACCCAGATGTTTCTGTTATCTTAAAAACACCACTGCCTAAGAATTCACACTTCATACCGTGCACTTGCTATGTGACATAGAAATAATTTCATTTGTGACATTTCATTTTCGAAAAAAAGCACTAAGAAAGAAGATGTGAAGATACAGAGATCTTGTTTTCACTTTACTCCTAGTGTTTTGAAACAGCTAAAAAAAATTTAAGGTAGATTCTTATTATAAGCGAACTATGCTCTAATAGGGAATTGTACTCAATATGTACAGAGTTCAAAACAGGCAGGTAGCAGAGGGAAGCTGTGATTCAGCCTAGTAATGTCAACATGCACACTGATAAATCAAGACACAGTTTGCAGATGGTTAAAATACTTGCAAGACAGTTTTTGAAAGC